GGGTGGCTAACAACAAATTTAAAACTCTTAATTGATGCAACAACAAAAACTGCATAAAATACAGTATAAAACGTGAATAACAATAAATTCAGAATTCAAAAATCAATTTAGAGGGGAAATCCATCCAATAAACATTAGATGATCACCAGGGCTAGCTGGCTAAATTAGTCCTATTTGGGCCAGCAAGGAGACCAGGGGAGAATTAGCTGTGGGATCCCAGAGCGGGTAATCTTCATAAAAAGGGGAGGGGAAGGGAAGGAAGGGGAATAAAAGATCAGGCTAAATTCAAATTGAAAGCCAGGTGGAGTAGCTTTGTCTTACAGGTCCTGCGGAAGGAAGTTAAATCCTGCAGGGCCCAGGTCTCATGGGACAGAGTCTGACTTCCTTAGGGCCTGGGACCTCTAAACTATGATTATTCATGGACCATAAGGTCCTTTGCGGGGCATACCAGGAGGCGGTCCCTTAAATACGAGGGCCCTAAGCCACAAAGGGCCCCTGTGGATCGTCACCTTGCCTCATGGGTGGGCTGGCCATGGGTATTAGGTATTGGAAGTTCTCCTCTTGTGGTGCCCACAACTCTGGCCCATTTTTAGGTGTCTGTGGGTGGAACTCCACCTGCAGAACCTTTCCCAGGCATTTACACGTGTGTGTTCAGTTAAGGCAGTATTTCTCCACTTCCGGTGGCATTGGGAGTCTTCTGTCTCATCCTAATGCCAGCGCCCCCCCTCCCCCGAGTTGATGAACCAAAGACAGTTGAATTGCACTCTTCAATGCTATGACCTTTTTGTTAATAAATACTGTTGCACACAACAACAGCATGCCTTAATTCCTCTCGTTGAGGAAATGTCGCAGTCATTCTGGAAAACCAAGCATTAGGTTACTTTAAACCAGATGCATAATTCATTTGGGCTACTTCTGACAGAGCCTTTTTGCGTGTGTAAGTGATGATGTGCTTTGCGTTCCTCTGGCAGTAAAACTTGACACATCTGTCCTCCAGATTTCATCTGAAAAGGCAAAAAAATAAAATAACAAACAAACAAACAAGAAGATTCTGCTGCTGTCCTTGTTTAGTCCTTTAAAAGGGTTTTGCTAACAATGTCTCTTCCACGTGACAGTGGCTGGGTTGGGAAGCAGCAGCCGGGGCCTGTGGAATATCTTCCAAGTCGAGGTCATCCTAAAGGACAAACCATGCCACACATTCCCAATAACATGACACAGGAAATCTGTGATTGATCTAACTTCTTGTTTTGTTTTTTTACTGAAGTGTAGTGTGGGGAGGGCAACTTTTTACTGGGAAATGATGCTGGGAGTAAGGTAAAACACTATGTCCACCTACCACCACCAAATACATTGTCTGCATCTTCCTCACCTGACCCCCTGTGGATGCATTATTATTATTATTATTATTATTACCACCACCACTACTACTAGTAGTAATACTACTAGTAGTATTGGTATCAGTAGTATAGTGGTAGTATAATAGTAGTATAGTAGTAGTATAGTGCCCTGTACTTGCAGGATTCGAACCGCCGACCTGACAATCGGCAAGTCCTAGGCGCTGAGGTTTTACCCACAGCGCCACCCGCGTCCCATAACAGTTATAGATGGTGCCTAATATAGTATGGTTATACGCTATGAGATAATGCTGCTGATTTTGATCACCTCTTTCCATGTGAAAAATATTTCACAAAATGGGTTGTGCTTATTCTGTTATTTAATCATTTCTCCCAGTCACATTCGTAGATGCTGTATTCTATCTCGCCACACCTCCCTTTCTGTTCCTATAACATAATACTGTAGTTTTAATTGATTTACTTTCTTAGTATATTATTATATTATATGAATGGGATTGTTGCATCTTTCGAACTCTAGAGGGCGCTAGATCTTAGGGATTTTAAGAAATAAAGACAATCATTGATTTCTATTTTCATTTGTGCCTTGGCTACACTGTTGAACTGCACTTTTGTTCACAAGGGGAACTGTCACAAGAATATGTTTTATTTAAGAAGGGGGCTATAGCACTTATGTTTCCATGTGTAACACCCCCAGCATTAGCAGCTAAAAGTTTTCAGGTTTTCCTTACTTGGAATTTCTCATGAGAAAGTGTTTCTTTGTACTGCGATATCAGATGAACAGATTGGAAGTAGGATTATGCAGTAGCCCTTACTTCTCTCACAGGACCTATTTGCACAGGAGGCACATAGTCCTTCTGTATGAGCCACTCAGGCAACTGATAAGACCATGTGCTGATTGGGTTGTTCACCAGTTTCAAATCAACATCAAAATCATATCCAATATTAATTCAGCTTGGTGGTCGCATGGTCTGCTAAGCCTGTGGCAGTGCTGTTGAAAATCACCACAAACTGATTTTAAAAGGGGGGGAAGAACCCTATAGATGTTATGCGCTCAAAGAGCCATGTGAATATGCCTTTAGTGAGAGTTCTGAAGAAATTTACACTGCCAAGAGTTCACGAAACTGAAGTTCCTGTTTATGTGAACATGGCCTAAGCAGGAATTTTGTCGAATTTGGAATCATTTTCACCTGACTAGTTTTTGCTCAGCAGCATGTTCATCATTCAACACATATTTGATATTTATCAGTCTTCCTCATAACAGTCTCTGATTTTTGTTACATTCACTGTCAGTGAGTGTCCTACCCCTTCAACTGTATGATTCCTAAGACCAATTCCTAAAACTACTCCCAAAAGTCCAAGCCGGGACAAAGAGTGGCCGTGGGAGATAATGGTTGGAAAACAGTTGCATTCTCCATTGTACCAGAAGTCCTTGATACACGACCATGTTACCTAATAAGGTAAACAATAATCTTTACTGGCTCTGTCTGATTAAATTGCTGTTGTTGTGCTTGAACAAGGCTATTTGTAAAGCGAGAAATGCAACTTTGCTGTAGACCTCTGATCCTCTACTAATGGTTATTGGCATTCTGGAAAACTTGTCAGTCTTCTACTGTATGTATTCATGCAAGTGCACAAAATCCTTAAGTCAAGTTAGTTCTTAGATGCGGGAGACAAAACTCTTAGCCAGGAGCCAATTTTGCACCAAAAGTGTACACACACACAGAACATCAAAAGAGCTCCTTAAATATTAAGATATTTTGTTCAGTTTTAGTGGTTTTAATGTTTTTAATGTATTGTATTGTTTTAAAAAGTGTGACATTTTATGTAACCAGTCTCGGGAACATTCAGTGAAGGGCCAGCTGTAAGTATTAATGATATCACATAAATATTTCTATCTGGTACGTTCTGTTCAATGTGCCTCCATCCTTTGGGACTTCGTATCTGCAAGTGTGCTTCTCATATAAAGATCTGTGCATCCAAACATGTACCTCATTTTCCCTCAATCTTGTGCAGTTTTCATAATATGCTCTTGTTCTCTGTTTCTGTCTGTCCACCATATTTTCCCCATGGCGGCCCCACATCCATTCAGTCTATGCTAGTCTCTACTGCTGCAGTGGCCTGTGGCTCCCCTACTTAAAAACTGCAGTACACCTCCATATACGGAGCCAATTTCTTTTGTATTTTCTCCTGGTTTTGTGGCATGGTATGTAAAATGATAACTGGAAGTTGCTCAGGTGCTAAATGCTGTTGCATTTAGCATCCATTCAAATGTGTTTATAGCCAGTTCCTGGTTTCTGTCTCTTTGTCACGCTGTCCCCCTCCATGCTTTGAAAGAGACAGTAGGGGCTGCACCCCTGGCTCTGCTCCCAAAGTCACACTGCTATCCTGACCATCTGAGTAGGTCAGAGGAGCCTATTCAAATAAGCCCCAATGGGTGCGGAAAACCCTGTGTGTGATCAGGGACACTGGTGGGTGGGGCTGAGTCACCTGTTAAATGCTGAGGCAAGACCAGTGGCACAGCTGCCCCATTCGACGCATGAATCATTTTTCACACCTATTGTGCATGAACTGAGAGAATCTGTGGTGGGACAGGAACTTATGGTGGGGACCCTTAGATAGGAATGGGCTTGATGCTCAGTTTCTCCCATTAAGTTCTTAGCAGCAAAGTAATGCCGCTGTGGGTTAAGCCACGGAGCCTAGGACTTGCCGATCAGAAGGTCAGCGGTTCGAATCCCCGCGACGGGGTGAGCTCCCGTTGCTCGGTCCCTGCTCCTGCCAACCTAGCAGTTCAAAAGCACGTCAAAGTGCAAGTAGACAAATAGGTACCACTCCGGCGGGAAGGTAAACGGCGTTTCCGTGCGCTGCTCTGGTTCACTAGAAGCGGTTTTAGTCATGCTGGCCACATGTCCCGGAAGCTGTACGCCGGCTCCCTCGGCCAGTAAAGTGAGATGAGCGCCGTAACTCCAGTCGGCCACGACTGGACCTAATGGTCAGGGGTCCCTTTACCATTACCTTTAAATATGTTTCATGTGGCTGGAAAAGATCTAGCACAAGGAATCAGGATCATCACGGTCTGGTCCATGTTAAATATGACAAGTGTTCCCATGTACATCTCTTGGTTTTATTTTCCGTATGTGGATGAGGGAAAGTAACATTCTTCTAATGGGGATATGCTTCACCGGGGGCAAAACTTTCCCTCCTGACCCTTGGTCACCTGGCCGTCCAAAAGGATAAAAGTCAATCCTGTGTACAAAGGATACAAAGATTCTCTGGGCTGTCATGGTACTACTCTGGCCCTCTCTCCATTCCTGCTCCTGTTTACCTGTTGACAAGCATTTTTCTAGTTCTCTAATCCAGGTTTGATTGGGAGACCTGTTGAGTCCATCATCTGTAATCAGGGTGTGCCTACGAAATCTGTTTTTGGTATAGAGCACAGGAGTTTTTGCAAAGGAGCTATGAACTTTTGAGTCTGTTTCAGACGAAGCTGCGAGAAAAGGGACACCCAAGACGGGCTACTGAAATCTTGTCAATCAAATGAAAGCAAAATATATAGTACTCTTTCCGTTGTGGTACTATAAAGCTCCAAATGGCACACCGCACTTCTCATAAGTGGGGATAATTTTCTTCTTCTTTAAAATCATTTAGGTATTCCATCAGATGCTGCTTTGAAGAATGACTTTTCAGAACAGGCAGCTAATATACATGCCACAAATAAAGATGGTGATGCCTGGGTTTTAGGTTGCAGGTTGGGAGAATCTTATCCATCTACCTGTTTCAGTGAGTCAGAGAGAGCTGACAGAAATTCACTGCGCCTGGACCTAAATGTGAGTAGTTCTATCAATGACTTTATTAATTGCTATTGATTCAAACTGTTGTTTATGAAATAGTCCACTAACGACATAGTTAATTAGCTCTTCTTTTTAATGTATAATTTATAAGACTTCTGTTCTACCCTGAATACGGGATTCACAGTAATCTCCTGTCAAAGAGACTGCTCAGGCCCATGCCTGATTAGCGTCAGCAATGCTACAACCTCAGATGTTTACAGACCATTATTGGGTTCCAGGCAATAAAGCCTTTAATATTCTGATATTGTGAAGCCAGTTTCATACTATCATGCAGCAGTTTTCAGCCAAATGATCAGCAACTGCTGCAGCAGTGCTCGGAGTTGAACTAACGTGAGCAATGCTGACATCTGTTGGCAAAGCTACAGGAATGGATTAGAAATAAATCAGATTGCTGCATGCATGCCCTTAAGAAAACTTTTGTTTTGTGCATGTTTACTTGCTTGATAAAGTAACTTAGAATTTGTATGTTCAGTTTTGGCTATAATTTTACAGTGGCTTTTTATGTTAGCATTTTACGTATGAGTTAAATGGTGGAAATGAATAACTGGTGCTAAATTGGATATTCCTTTATTACTAGTTATTCCTAACGTTGTAGGCAGTTACGAGCTAAATTTAAAAAAAACCTGAAATGAGTTCATTAATTAGTTTGTTGTGTCTAATGTGAAACAACAGCAGATACCACAAACTATTTTAATGTTTGTTTTAATGACATTCCCCCCCCCCTTCCCTCCTCATGCACCTGTATTTGTACTGTCTTCATACTTGGGAGTCCTGTACTTTTAATGTGCACCCAATTAAGACTACGAGTTGACATAAGTTAGGGAATTTGCCATCATCTTATTTTAATAAGTAATATTTCTGAAGCTCTCATTGTATATTTAAGAATCCTTCATACCATAATAACAAAATAGGCATTCTAACCCGACTCTTAAGTTGACTTTCTCCATCACAATGCACAATAAAAAGACGAGCCTAAAGGGAAAGGAGTGATAGCTGGGCTTTGAATAATTGTACCTTGGTTTTCGAACAACTTTGTTCTTGAACCCTTTGGCTCCCGAACGCCGCAAACCTAGAAGTGAGTGTTCCGGTTTGCGAACTATTTTTGGAAGCCAAATGTCTAACATGGCTTCCGTGGCTTCTAATTGGCTGCAGGAGCTTTCCCAGCCAATCAGAAGCCGCGCTTTGGTTTCTGAATGTTTTGGAAGTCAAACAGACTTTCGGAACTGATTCTGTTCAACTTCCAAGGTACGACTGTACTATGATAGGGAAAGTGTATTCCAAATAGAAAAATAACAGACTGTCCAATATGTGCAACATTTTTCTACAGTGATAGCTACTTCAGATCCATAAGGCAGCTATTTCACAGGCCGTTAGAAACACTGCATACATCAGTTTCTTTTAAAGACACAATATCTGTGGAAAGATGCTGTGGATAATCCTCCACACCCTGTAAGATTTTATCACCCTATTCTGAAAGTTAGCAGTTGTTGCTTTTTGATAAATCACTTCTACATCTACTTACATTATAGCACCACAGACTTAAGTGATAGGCCCTGCCTTTTCAACAGTTAGCAATGTTCCCCTACGTGGGGCTGCCCTTGAGACTGACCCAGAAACACCAGCGGGTGCAGAATGCCGCGGCGAGACTCCTTATGGGATCCTCGCTGCTGGTTTTAACCTTTAAAGCCCTATACAGCCTAGGACCCTCGTACTTACGAGACCGCCTCTCCTGGTATGTCCCACAGAGGAACTTACGGTCTTCAAATAAAAACATCTTGAAGGTCCCAGGCCACAGAGAGGTTAGGCTGGCCTCAACTAGAGCCAGGGCTTTTTCGGCTGTGGCTCCAATCTGGTGGAACGCTCTGTCACAAGAGATCAGGGCCCTGCGGGACTTGACATCTTTCCGCAGGGCCTGCAAGACGGAGCTGTTCTGCCAGGCCTTTGGTCGGGGTTCAGTCTGACTCCCTCTCCCCTTTCATAAGAACTTGCATGAAAGTGGCCTCCCAATTTTTCTCACAGGCCCATATAAGTTCATCACAAACAGTTGGGCCTGGTGAGCATTTAAGGTCCCCAACCCTAATCTGCGGGTTGCCATCCGATTGGATTTTATTCTGATCCTGATCTGATTTGAGCATGTATTTTAATTGATTGTCTGATTTTATGTTAATGTATTATACATTTGATGTTAGCCGCTCTGAGCCCGGCTTTGGCTGGGGAGGGCGGGATATAAATAAAATTTTTATTATTATTATTATTATTATTATTATTATTATTATTATTATTATTTTGTTGTTGTTGTTGTTGTTGTTGTTGTTGTTGTTGGAATTGAATCTGTTTGTCAATTTATTTGTTATTAACTCTGTAAACAATAAACTGTGCCTAAAATATTTTGCCTACTTTTGCATTTTTAAATGTGTGCGCCTGCAGAGCCTGGAAAAGAAAGAGATATTTACACGAAGTGTCACATCCACAAAACAGAGATCCAAAAATGAAGCAAAATTTATAAATAATTAGTGAGAGATGTAAAAAAATAATAATGTAAAGTTCTGATTGATGGTACTTCTAGAGTTGCTTGTTGACAGTGTATCTTCATGCTTTAATACAGTCCTGTTGCTTATATTTCAAATTGCTTGCTTCTTTGGTGTTTGGGATTATTATAGCAAGCTTAAACCTCTTAATGGTTATAAGGCTGTACAGCCAAAGCTGTGATTCTGCACATATGAAAATAATAGTTGTTGTTGTTGTTGTTGTTACAGTGGTACCTTGGGATACAAACAGGATCCATTCTGGAGCCCTGTTCGCATCCTGAACAGAACGTAAGACGCGGCTGGGCGGGTCGCGTTTCGCTGCTTCCACGCATGCGCGTGACGTCATTTTGACTGCGCATGCGTGAGTGGTGAAACCGGGAAGTAATGCACTCCGTTACTTCCGGGTCGCTGCGGAGGCAACCTGAAAATACTTATCCTGAAGCATATTTATCCTGAGGTATGACTGTGCTTCAATTTATGTTTTCCTTCTAAACTGCTGTGTCACACCAATTTTCACATTAAACAATTTAAAACACTTAAAAAAACACACACAAAACCAGATACACTTAAAACAATTTATTTATACCCTGCCCATCTGGCTGGGTTTCCCCAGCCACTCTGGGCAGCTTGCAGCATACTTAAGCCCATAAAAAGCTCATAGGTTATTGTCAGGCCATTTGGGGTTTGTTTTTAAACATTTATTTTATTTCAAATTCTGTTCTTCATACTGGGGAGAGTATGTAGGAAACACTCCGCTGTTTGGGGGTTGTCCTATTTTGCTTCCAAACAGAAAAATCAAACCACATGAGTTCACTATTATTAACTGAACATTAAACTACTTGGTCCTTCTGAATACAGGATGCATTTAGCTATAATTGAAGCATAGTTATATCCTAGCCTTTGATGTTTAGTTTCAAAGATTATGACACAGAAATGGGAGGGTTTGACCAAACTGAGTCACAGTTCCTTCAGGAAATGTGGTGGCAACTATATCTTTGCAATGTCATTGTTGTCTATGTCTTCCTTACCCAAGACAGTTGCAAAGCATCCATGGAGTTGGTACTCCATATGCACTCCATATTTCCATTTTCAGCTAAAGGAATTTCAGAAAGTAGATTATGAATTTAAATACTGACTGTATGGAGAGCTGTGACCTGTTTAGTGAACAAAAATTAAGACTTACTACCTTCTTCCTGGCTATTCCATTTAAGACAGAGTAGTGCTCTAAATATTAAAGCACATTACACAATTACACTATAATTATCTACCTTTTGATGGTATGCCACCTGCCAACATGAGCTGATCATGCCTCAGATGGATAAAGTCACCACAGTCATTGCAATTACAAAGCAGTCACTACAGTGTAAATAGCGTAAGAAATCGTTATGCTCGTACAGAGAACATAATGGCAGGAGGGGAAAATAATAATGAGGATTTCGACTCCAGGAGAACATTCACCTTGGGAAGCAGAGGTTCAGCTAATTTTTATTATTTTATTATTTATTAAGTTTATATACCGCCCTTCATCCAAAGATCTCAGGGCGGTTCACAACATAAAGATACAGTATAAAAGCACAAAATAATCAGTTAAACAAAAACAAAACAATAACCCCCTTCTCTCACACCCATTTAAAAGGCCATAGAATATTAGTCCAAGGCCTGGTTGTATTCTTATTTATTAAATAAGCTTCTGGGCCATTTCACACATTCCTTTAGGACCAAGTTGAGATGTTTTTCTACTGCAAACGGTTGATTTTCTCATGCCATGAAGCACAGGGCTGTGTAAATCTTTTCAATCTGAGGGTCACATTTTTTTGGCACAGCTTGTCAACCAAACCCAGGCTTGTGGTTAAGCTCTGGCCTTGCTAATCATGAGCTGTAGTAGCCAAGGATTGCTGTAAAAACAGAGATGGGAGTTCCTTGCCAGATGTGTTCACGTTTGTGTGGACCCAGTAAGCTATAGTTTGGCTTGCCATGATATGCAAATAAAGTCATATCTGGCTTTATTAAGCTGAGAGATGATTGCCAGAACACAGGCAAACTGCCCTAATATTCCTGAAAAAATTTATCCACTGATCAAAGTTGACACGGAACTGTGTAATCCAAGCAGCTTTTGTTCTTCTATGGTTTCTTAAAACTCAATGACTATCTGCAACTCAGGGCTTTAAGTATACACTGGTACCTCGGGTTACATACGCTTGAGGTTACAGACTCTGCTAACCCAGAAATAGTACCTCGGGTTAAGAACTTTGCTTCAGGATGAGAACAAAAATGTGTGGCGGCAGCGGGAGGCCCCATTAGCTAAAGTGGTGCTTCAGGTTAAGAACAGTTTCAGGTTAAGAATGGACCTCCGGAACGAATTAAGTACTTAACCCGAGGTACCACTGTAGTCCCCTTAGCCAACTGTTTTTAGAAGGCTGTCATTGGAGGAGTTACAGGGTGGATTTCATTAGGGATTTCCCTGTGTCCCCCTTCAACAACTTGAGAATTGCATCAGTCATCTGGAAAGCTAGCAGTTGAGGCCTGGAGAGTGTAAATTAAATAAAAAGCTCTTTCAGGCCTGTTTAGATTGAAAGCGCCATGCTGAAATGAGCAAGTCTGGAAGTTTTCCTGTTATAAATGGGTATGCTTTTAATAACCTGAATGATACCTGAACAGACCCGGGCTACTAAGTATAACTGGCTGGCAAAGCTGCAGGTCAAAGAGGAGGAAGCACTTCACTTAGTGTGACCAACTGATGAAATTTATTGCCAAAACCATGTTTGTTTCAGTTATTCGTTTCCGAAGATTTATATACTATTCTTCCATTGTGTGCTCAGTACCCAGGGAAGTTTAATAACAATTGTTAAACGAAGAAATCCCTCCCAGTTACCCAGCCCAAGAAAAAACAATAAAATGGTTAGAAAATGAACAACATACAAACTGAAAGCTTCAGCCTGTCAAATTCAATACCTACATGAGAAAAAAACAGTGTTGGCAGTGTTGGAATATTGATATTAATATTCTGTTCCCAGAGTGGCTGGGGAAACCCAGCCAGATGGGCAGGGAATGAATGAATTTATTATTATTATTATTATTATTATTATTATTATTATTATTATTATTATTAAGACAAGAGGTTGAGAGCTCCATAACTTAGGTGTAACCTCAGAGAAGGGTCTGTTATGAATCCCAACTCATATTGCTCTATATTTAAGGGCAGTATACTTCTGATTACCAATAAAGGAGGAAAAACATGGGGCTACTGTCTCCATTCTCGCCTGCTTCTAAGCTCTCTCTGCTCGTGTAAGGAGCAATAAAGTTTTTATTTGCACATCAGAGCGGAGGAGGAAGAGGGAAATCTTCCGTTCCACAAACATGAACTCTGTCCCATTCTCAGGACAGCTAGGATCTGAGCTAGGATGCTAGATTAGATTGATTTCTGGTGTGATCTTTCTTTAGTATCATTCTTATTTATTAAATTTGTATACCACCCTTTATCTGAAGACCACAGGGCGGTTCACCACATAAAAATACAAAATGAGAACACAACAAACCAATAACCACCCTCATCTGGTGTGATTAATACTGTATGTTTTGAAAACCTTTGCAGTGCAATCCTATACATGCCTACTCAGAAGTAAATCCCATGAAGTTCCACTTTGCAGGAAAGTGGGCAGAAGGTTGCAGCCTTCCAGTTTTAAACGCTAGAAATCATCTAATAAGGCCAGTGCTTTTTTCTCTAAAAAAAAAAAATGTTTAGGGGTACTCTCATTTTCCTACCCATATTGAAATACTGCCCCTCAATGAGGCCAAATTCACAAAATTTTTAGGGATATGTGTACGCCTGAGTACCCCCAGGGGGAAAAAATAAAACATTGAATAATGCTATTTGCCAGAAAAGGAATTGAGGTGGGGGGCGGGGAGAGGCGTTGTAAGCAACTTACCTCTAAGTTAGCTACTCCTTGACTCGCTGGTTCTAAGCCTTTTTATACACAGAGTTTTCTACTTGGAGTTTTCTAGTTTCGTCACCGGCTCTTACCTGTTTTTGCTGCCGCGGAGTAACCCAGCTCCCCCTCTGGGACTTCTTCCCGTGTGCTTTTCTTTTTCCCCTCTCCTAGACTGAGGAAATAAGATAGGTGCAGAGATCTCAGATGCAAAGAAAACCCGGGAATTAAGAAAAAAAATGAATTAAGAGAAATCGCTTTGGAAGATAAGACAGTGGACGTGCATGTTTCCACCCCTCTCTTCTTTGCAGAGTTAATGGCCGAGTTCTGGGCAGTGGCTGTTTACCTTGCCCTCCTAGGTAGTTTTTAATCCGTGGGTGTGGTTTCCTTGTCTGATAACTTACCTGTTTATGGTCCGCAGAAAGAGCTGTGCAGAGTTTAAGACGCAGCAACACGAAACCAGCCTCGTTGGTTGGTGCTCCTTGGCTGGAATCTGCATTCCAGACAGAAACCTGAAGCAAAAGCGGAAGAGTGGTGCTTTCTTTCTTTTTATTATGATTATTCAGCTTCAAGGGCACCAACGTTAACTGGGACTTCTCAGCAACTAGGAATCTCCAGAAGTTAAAAGAAGGCTCGTTTGTGTGTGTGTGTGAAGATTTGGAAACATTTCTTTCTGCTTGGGATTTTCCAGCTTTCTGATCTTGCCTTCCTTCGACGACTTTGCTCGTGGGGTGCCTTTCAAGAAACTTTTGAGGAGTTTTTCTGCTGACGATTTTCCCCTTGATTCTCGGGCCGGCATGAGGAAGTAGCAAACTGCAAGTACCAGCTGTTCTGTTGAGAGAGAGTGAGAATGAGAGAAAGAGATCTGTCTTGTTAACTGCTATTTCTATTCAGTAAAAAGGCTGAGTGTAGCTGAAAAGAACTAGTAAGCCTTAGTGCAACAGGCGGTGGAGTTTGTAGCAGATTTGCGTTGACAAAAAATAGGCCCATTGTGTAAATAATAAGTTGTGACGCTGCTGGGAAGTTTTTATGGTATGCAACACGATGCAAAATCTTCCCGTTTCGCCTCTGTTCAAGTTGTAAAGTTTGGCTGGAATGTGCATTTCAGACCATTGTTAGAAAGAGCAGCATGTGATCTGGTGAAAAACTGCCTCTCTCTGTGGTGTTTTAATGTAATAGACTGAATGAAAGATGTTCCCTGAGAGTAATCATATAGAAACGAACTGATATCTTCTGGGAATATAAGAAGTACTACTGTGATTTGCCCAACATGGAAGCAAATCAGACTTCAGACCATAATGAGCTTTCCAGTCTAGAGGGGGCAACCGAACCTGAACCAGGCCCAACTCTCTACACAAAATTTTCTATGAAAGCCCTTTTTGGATTTACGGCTAAACTGCAACCAGGCACTTCAAAAGAACAAGCTGTTCTTAAAGGATTTCGAAATGTCAGTGATATCAGCAGCCATGCTGACAACCAGGAAGTGAGGAGCAGAATCAATGGAGATGATTATCTGGATGGAGATCATCAACTTTCAGAAATACCACAGGCTGAAAGCCCAAACAATGCTTATGAAATTTCAGAATCCAGTACTTGCGACATGTTTGCCCTTGAGGCTGATGCCACTGCCCCAGTTGACTCAGGAGTGGGTGCCTGGGTGCCAACTGACTTTGATGCTGATGCTGCCCTGGGTAACTTTGAGGATGATATTAGCAACCATGTTGATTATGAAGTCTACGGCAGCACACCTGTTGACTTTGCAGACACTACCATTGTCCCAGATGACTATGAGCCTGACAGTTACGGCCCAGATGACTTGGAACTGCAGGAGCAGAATGATCCCTATCTTTCCCATTCAGATTCTCAACACTCTCTTTTGTCTGAATTTGGCAAACAAAATGACAAGGATGCCATTCTTATTCAGGGTACTTTGGTTCATGCAACAAGTGACACAGAATCAGACAATGAGCCTACAGATCTTAACAGTGACGAAAATATAGCAAACAGATCTGTTTTAAATAGTACTGTGTCTTTGGAGGAAAATGACCAAAATAAAGAAGAGCCAGAAACAGAAGGATATAGAGAAATAGATGGTACTATAAATGGAGGTGAAACAGAGCAGATTCTACCAAGTTCGCAGCTTCATTCAACAGAAATGGATGATACACTACATGAAATTTGTTCAGAAACTGAAACTGCAGCACTGACCAATGAGAACCATACAGGCCTGTCTCTCACAGGAGAAGATACTCAGGGGTTTGTAGATGAGCAAGGACCTCTTGCAAGCAATTCCAGCACGGCATCCATCCAAAAACCATCTTTGAATGAGAAGACCTTTCAGCTTCCTGCTTTTTTCAGTGGGTTACGTGTACGGAAGAAAGGATTCTCTTCAGATCAGGAGGAAACTGTCACTGAAATCAAACAGAAAGACAGCGACTTGGCTATGCTTAAATTAAAACAGCCAGTTAAAAAGTCCAGTATTGCACCTGATCAGTTAACTAAGAGGAAACCAGCAGAGCCCAAAGCGGCCCCTACCTTTCTAGAACAACTCTCTCATCTCTTAGGGCCTAAAAGTGAAGAAAAAGATTCTGGCGAGGTGTCCAGTGATTCTGGCATTGGTGAGAATAGCCAAGAAAGCAAATCTTCAGTGAGAAAAGCATCCTCCACCTCTGAAGAGGCAAAACCAAGCCCCGCTGAATCTGCATTGGATGCATTTAAAGCTTTATTTACACGCCCTCCCAAAAAAGAGACAACTGCTGATACTTCAGAGCTAGAAGCGATAAAACGCAAAATGAGACATGAAAAAGAATCACTGAAGGCAGTATTTGAAAGGTCTAAAGGTGATGGAGCAACTGACACAAAACCAGTAGGTTGATTAATACTCTTGTATGCTAGGGCTAATGCAAAATACTAATTGGGTAAATAGATAGGTGTGATCTAAAATACGTATGGCAAATGCTTATTTTGGATAGAAAAGACCCAAGCGTAGCATTACCATTCTGAGACTGGGATGCCTGTTTCGACAGCACCCAGCGTCACAATGCTAAGCTGCATTGGTGAATTCTGTGCATTAAGAATGGCATTGTTGAAATGTGGGTTATTATTTATAAATTGCATAGTCCCTTTACCATGCAAAATATGATGACACCTCAAAATATGTCTAACCTCATAACAACACACTGAAATTGTCAGAAAATTTCCCATTTCAGAAATGTACTGAAGTTGAGAGATGATTAGCAGAGCAATCAACACACCCTTTTTGGGTGGCAGGCAGAAATGAGTGTAGAAGTGTCTCTCTGCTAGCCCTGCTGACCTCCATTGGCTTCCTGCCGCCTGCAGAGTCTCGTCACTCTGCTGACACAGAGCCCCCTTCTACCCACTGAATGTACCATCACTTGGAAACCCATGGAGCTGGATTTTATATGGGTGGGGAGTGCTGAGCTCCTCTGGAATCCATTGGATTCTGAGCCATCCATGCAGCATCAGACCCAGTTTGGGCCCAATCACTGCACCAGCTATATAGACTGGTGCAGGGATCTGCCTGACCTTCCCATCTTCTGCCAGTCACTATGCACAGCAGGGCTACAGGTGCAGCAGTGGTCCCACCATTCCACAAATCCCTGCCAAGATAAGGAGTGCTGGTTTGGATTTCTCCCTAATTTGCCAGAAGGTATTGAGTCTGTGGCTGATCTGACATTTGGGTTGTGGTTCTTGAGTTCCAAGCCAGCAGTCTGCCAGCCACAGATGGCTTCAAAACAGCATTCCAATCCTGCCTTCCTTCCCCCACCCCACCCCACCCCCAAAAGAAAGCTCAGGGCTGTGTACATTTTATCCTCGCAAAAATCCTGTGAAGTAGGTTAGGTTAAGGTAGTTGCTGGCCCAAGGTCACCTACTGAGTTTATTGGCAGCATGGATATTTGAACCTAAACCTCGCCAGCCTTAACTGGTCACTCTAACCACTGAAACTGGTGTCACAGTGAATTAAGAGCATACACTTTAATACTGGTGGGTCATTTCAAGTGTGCCGCGGGGAGTGCCCATGGCTTTCCCCCAACAATAAAGGTAATAGAAAAACCCATGCCTTTATTGACCTCTGTTGCACATCAGAGCATTCAGTCATTATGATGTATCGTATGTGAACAAACAAACAGAAATTGTAGGTAGTCATAAAAAAATCCAGAATGTAGTATATTGAACTAGCTAAAATGTCACAAAATTGTGAGCAAGCTCTCACATTTCCCCAGTACTTATTTCTGACTGGATATTAAGCAAAAAGAAAGGTGGAAAGGCTGTTGGGTTTGTTTGTTTGTTTGTTTGTTTGTTTGTTTGTTTGTTTGTTTGTTAACATTTATAAACAAGCAGTTTTCAATGCCATGTGCCTTCATATGTTAATATTTCTTAAAATATTTTTGTTTTATTAGACTGATGCAGTACTTTCCGATCAGGATGACAAGACTCCCGGTAGACTGCAGACTATCTGGCCACCACCCAAAGCAAAGGATGAAGAAGAGAAAGTAGGATTAAAATATACAGAAGCAGGTAATATACCATGGCAAAATGTCTATTTAAAAAACAACACCACCACCTGAACCTGTTATCCAGTTTCTAGCACTGGCTCTTTCACAATAGTTATATTATACTCAAAAGAAAAAGTTGATTGCTTTGTGTTTGGTGCTGTAATTAGTTTTCAAAGGCTGACAGGTAGGAATTTTGTTACAGGTAGCTTTTCAACAGGTGTGTGCATAGCCTGGTCCATCCAGACTGTCACAAACCCATCTATACTAGTATAGAAGCTTCCCAGCCAACATGAGTGTGGTAAAATAAATACTATACTCACAATGTAATAATACCTGTTTTCTTTACACATGTCATGGGTGGCATTCAATACTAGCTCCATTCAGATTAGACCAATTGAAGTTAATTATCATGACTAAGTCAGGTTAATTAATTTAATGGGTCTGGTCTGAATAGGACTTAGTTGAATACAACCCATTACCTCAGTGCAGGGGGAAATATGGAGCCTTCTTTGGTGTTTCTTCAGTATTGATAACAGAAGTCAAGAATAAGAGTAGAGTTGTAAGGGACCCTGAGGGTCATCTAGTTCAAACCCCTGCAATGCTGAGATCCCAACCAAAGCAACCATGGATTAATTAGGGAAAGGAATGTTCAGTGTAACTGACTGTGTCATTCAGATTTTAAAAAGCATTTTATGGCAATAGGTAGGCAAGCTACATAGCAAAAAGTACCCCAAGCTAATTTAACAATTCTGCATTCATGAGCAAGCTCCCTTTATAACATTTTGAAGTAGTCCCATCATTGCCTTGCTAGAGAGTTTGTACAAATTATCCCATGTAGACATAACTATTCATCCCTGAAACTCTTCAACGGAACTGCCATTTTGGTCTTTTTTAGATTCTGCTTTGGTTAGGGTTTACAGTAATTGATTCTAATTTTGTTTTTCATGCTGTTACTTTATATACCGTACACACACATATCTCCATTGCCAAAAAACATGTTTACACAACTTGCCTGGCATCTAAATTGGCAAACCAGCTGGGGTATTTCAACAGAGGTAAAAAAAAAAAAATAAAGTAGGGAAAATAGATTAAATAAATAAATAAATAAATAAATAAATAGCTTGAAATAATCCACTGTGTCCGACCATATATATCCAAAGGCATGTTAAACAGGAACAAAAACATATTTGCTCTCTGCTCATATAAAGTGTAATTATGGCAATCTCTGTGCCAAACCTTCATATTAGCAGCTTACTTCTTAATAGTATGCGTTTGTATTATGCTAAATACAAGTCGGTGTGGGAATGATCCTTTGCAAAGGCTTTTAAATGTGGGATGTTAGGATCATGTTAAAGCGAATCGCTACTTCAGTTTTGACGCCGTATAGATTCCTCAATAGTGTTTGAGAGACAGAGGGGGAGTTAAAATGTAGAAGGAATAATATTAATTATTCTGTTCTCTGTTTATAGGCTATTTACGTTTCCTCATAAGTGCCCTATGGCATTATCAGGCCTTTGGCAAATTAACAATCTGTGGACTTTTAAACTTGGGGCAGGGTATTGTTTTGTTTGTTATTATGTTATGTATTTTTCCGTTTTTACACTGGCCCTCAGATGAAGAATGGTATAATAATGATGATGATGATGATGATGATGATGATGATGATGATGCTAGGAATGAAGCAGTACATAGGGACCTACCTGGTGCATGTTTTTCTTCTACAGTTTCTCTCATCACAATATGGTTCCATCTTTTGTGATGACCACCATAGGAGAGGGGTCATGGTAAGAGGAGGGCAAGGCCCAGTTTCTACCATTCCTTGACTGATGGTGGCAGAAGTAGTGAGAGACCACTGTGAGAGAAATTATCCTTGCTAAATGGTTTGCCAGAAGCGGCTTAGTCGTGCTGACCACATGAACCGGAAGTCTGCGGACAAACGCCAGCTCCCTTGGTGACTGAACCTAATGGTCAGGGGTCCCTTTACCTTTAAATAGTAGCCTGAATGGGTTGCCTTTACAGCTGTACTGCTGCCTATCTGCTGTGTTTGTTGCTTGTGGGTGGGATGGAAGTACAGACTTAAAAAAACCCCACATTTTTAATTATGGCATTTTATTTCTTTTCTTAATATTCTTTCCCTTAACTTTCCTATTTAAAAATAATATATGTACCTATTGTTGTGAGAAAAGTGGAACACTGTAGATCTTGTGTACAATGCTGCCAGCTGTTGGAGTGCAGTGATTTGAGTGGAAATTATCAGCGTACCAAATGTATTGTAATTTGCTCAGAGCTTGGATTCTGAAGTAATGTCATTATTCAGTGACTGAAAGAGATGGGAATTTAGCAGTGACTAAGACGTAACAGGACAGAAGTACCATATTCAGATGAGTAAGGTGGAGCATGTATAAACTTTACTTTCATGCTCTTCATACAAGAGGCTTTTTGATACCTTCTCACTGCTGTATAATTACCCTTGAAGCTGATCCAGAAGATCCATAAACATAGAATTCTTCTCATTCCCATTAGAATCAGTGATGCTATCACAATGGTTGTGCTCAAATCTGCAATGATTTCTTGTTTAGTTGTTCATTGGGTTATAGATGCCAAAAGTTGCCAAACAGGTCTTTCCTCTTGCTAAGAGAATGTGAGATGTGCTTCCTTTCACTGACTGTATTCAAAATAATGTTTAAGGACAGCCTTTTCTCTTCACGTGCAATATATTTCCCTTGGCCATAAATAATGCTTACTGACTATACCTATTTTTGGATGGGATTCAATCACATACAGTACTGACAAATTCAGGTTGTGCAATTAAAATTGATTTGAACCCCTTGCACAACATGCCTGCTTCTCCCCGAAACTAGACTTTTTTGCAGTAAGGAAAGTGATGGGAAAATGCACTGTAAAGCTTGATGCAACACTGTCTAACTTCCTTGCAAACAAACCACAACATATGTTCAATAAACAGGTCATCTGGAAGTGACTGATAATACTCATTTCTAACACTTTCCTAACCTACACAAGCAGCTATGGCCAGACAATAATGTAGATATAATTATGCGGCTTCTGTGTCTAGAGCAGGGGTCAGCAAACTTTTTCAGCAGGTGGCCGGTCCACTGTCCCTCAGACCTTGTGGGGGGCCGGACTATATTTTGAAAAAAAATAATGAACGAATTCCTATGCCCCACAAATAACCCAGAGATGCATTTTAAATAAAAGGGCACATTCTACTCATGTCAAAACACGCTTATTCCCGGACCGTCTGCGGGTCAGATTTAGAAGGCAGTTGAGCCACATCCGGCCCCCGGGCCTTAGTTCGTCTACCCATGGTCTAGAGGCTAGCTTAAGGGAGGCCCAGCCTGTGTGTCAGGCTTTGGCCTAGCATTAGGGGTCCGTTTCAGGCATGGATGTATGAAGATCAGAAGGACGGTAGATGATGTCACAGACGGGATGGAGGTTAGGCACTGGATCAGAGGGCTCAGATGAAAGTGTGACATCAAAGTCAGGCAGAAGGTTCCGTGACAGCATAGAGGGTTGAAGGGGTCAGAAGTATGGCAACCAGAAGTCTCAATCTGAGGCAGCAAGGTAGCAGGCAGAGTCCTCCCCTTCAAGGTGGGTTACAGTCAGTTAACATATCTTTGAGAGTTTGTCCCTAGGAATTCATCCTGAGTTTCTTCCCAAAGGCACTTTCTAGGGCAAGAGTTTTCTATCAGGGGCCATTGACCCACAGAAACAAATAAAGAAGAAAAATAATAATTTCAGTTTTTTTTTGTTTTGTTTTTTAGACAGTGTTCAGTAGGTTTTGTGTGCTTTTTCTCCACTGTGATGACTGAATCTGCTTTTCCTTAGTGAGCCATTGAGCTCTTGTCTGGCACATACAGAGCTCCTTTGTTCTCTTTCCCTCACCACATCTCGGGTTGTAAACAGGATTGTGCTGTTTTCCTAAGCTGCTCTAGCCCCCAGTTCCTAATGTAGTTGATATTGTTTATAAATCCTTTGAATGGAAGGGCCGTGCTTCCCAGAGTTGGGCATTTTGGTGTTGTTGGCATAGAACTCGTGTTGTTTCCATTATCTTGATTTTGGTTACCATGGCCTGGTGGCATTGACAAGCTTGGGAGGCGACAGCAAGCAGGGAGTGGTCCCTCAAAATATGCGATGGGTGCTCACTTCAGCACTCTTGCTCCTGCCTTTCCCCTGGTGGGAGGAAGCAGTGCTCCCCAAATCTGCTCTGGAGTGTCTGCAGCAGGAAAGAGCAGAATGGGAAGTCCTAATAATGCAGGAAGAAATCCATTATGTAAGCCAGATGCCATAATTACATATCATCCTAAACATCGATCAGAGGTGTTAGCTAAACTAAGTTCGTGTTCTCTCATCAGAAAGTTTACTAAATGATCAAATTGAGCCCCAAAAATGTGTAGTAGGAGGCATCATAGACTTGTAAACTGACAGTGAAATCTAAGGGTGTTAAAATTTGTGTACCATTGTTTCACTTATGTTATCTGGTAGTGTGAAAATATTGAATGTTTTATTTCACTGTTATGTTTATGATACTACAGTATGATCAAGTAGTTTTGAGTCAACAATAAATGATGATGGTATTGTCATGTTCCAAGTCTACTGAAAGGCTTTCATATCTTTTTTTTTTTGGGGGGGGGGGGTCTTTTGGGGCGGGTTTTGCTACAAAAGCAGTGGTTCTAATTTGCAAAAACGTTTTCATTTAAAAAGCTTATATTAAAAATGAGAAAAGTAGCAATTTCCATTGACTGGATGATAATGTTGGAAATAATCTTACTGAGATACAATTCATGACACATTTGTTCTTTTATGTAGCATTTTCCTCATTAATTGTGTATATTGACAAGTCCCTGCTTCTTCATTGCCTTTTTAAGTTACTTCATCCTGCAGCAAAGTCATGCTGTTTCTATGGCACCTCAATTTCCATGGCAACAGTCTTTGACGCTATAAACACTATTTTTATGCCAGTGTGAGAAAGAGAAGCAAGGTTGTGAATGAGAAACCTCTTAT